CTGTTCACATATCAAACGGGTCTGATTCAAACCAAGAATTATTGCTAAATCATTGGCCTACTGGTTGTCCTGTCATTTCATTGTGGTCTTCAGTCCCTTTCCTATTTCTGAAGGAAGAGAGACAGAGAGAAGCCAAAACAAAAATCTTCCTGGACGAAGGCAGATTGAGCATTTGTTTTTGATTCGAAAACAAATTTTCTTTGAGAGCTAAGGTTGAGTACCTGTAATGACAAAATTGCAATCTGAACGGCTCATACTTTATTGGCTTCGCTTTTTGCTCTGGAAGCACTGGAAATAACCTGAAAAAAGAATTCACTCCTGAAATAACAGTGATAAAATATATCCGAATTTTGTACAGACAAATATAGCCTGGAAACCCAGAGAGATGCATAATCGTGAAACGAATTTTATACCCGCGACAGTTTTCTGAAGGCGCATCGTTCGGTGGGCACAACAACCTGTAACACCACAGGCTCGGTGGAGGTATTCGAAAATGGCCCGATGGGTAGCACATGCAAAGAGAGAAAATCGGCTGGCAGGGCCTCCCTCCCCGATGATTATTGCTTAGAATCAAGCTGATAGCGGTTTTCATCTTCTGGTAAGCGCCATTACGAGTTTGCAATCGGAACGAATGAATTCCTTTGCCAAATACCTCTACTACATCTTTCCTCCCCCCTCTTCCTCCCCCCGCCTTTCGGCGCGGCCCTTGATAAAAAAGCATCAAAAAGTAAAGCACACGACTGGCGCCGCGAATCAAACTGCTCTTGTAATTCATTTGAAAATCTGTTTAAAAAAATCCGACAACTTATAAAAATTATTTCCACGAGTTCATCTCGTGGCTCTGAACTGAGCTAAGCGTGCTGCTGCGCCCTAACCTGAGATCGGTACTCAGAGGGAATGCTGTAGGGACGGGCGCAGATTTCATAGATTCGTCACCACCCGCCGCATTCATCGCCATTGCCTCCTTCTTCTTCATCTCTTCCTCAATGGGACCTGCAAAACCGGAATGGAAGTGAGGAATTTTTACCTCCATATGCTTTTATTATTCACTGGGCTATTAAGTTGTTGTCTGTGAGCATCATTTTCAAAGAACGATTATTAAACGGAAATTGTGTTCATTTCTTTTATGCAAAATTTACGATGATTTACGCTGGAGTACATCAGGAGCATCTCAAAACTTGCTAGACGCTTTCTTTGTTGGCAGAACTATCGAACGAGGAATTCGTTCAGGAGGCGAATGAAACGCCGGGAAGTCGGGTAATACAGCACTGCACAACGCTATTGCGGACATCGAAAAAAAACATAATGCAACGCTTGACGTTTACACTACGCCACTACTACATCAATGGTGAAATGTTCCGGTAACTGTGTCGCGGGGGTTTCGAAGCTGCCCGTGAGCAAAGAGCGCACTGACCAATATGAGTTTCCTCGATATGCTGCAGCAAATCGTGCAAATTCGCGAAATGCAGCCCGCAGTTGTTGTACTGGCATACGTTCATACCCAACAGCGAAAGC